TCTCCCTGCTTCCCTCCGGGCTACCTGTCAGCTCCCGCAGCGCGGAGGTGGGGATGACGACCGCCGAGATACGCTCCTGAGGGTGGTGCATCAGTTTCAGGCTCCAGAACTCCGGAGTCCGGATCTGTCCCGGGAAGAGGAAGCGGCAGTCCCTTCTGATGAGGTGCCTCCGCTTGGAGCCACCTACAGTCTGCGGTAAAGGGGTTGAAGCTAGAGATCTAGAGGCGACAGGGCCGTCTGGGCCGAGCCCACAGCAGCTCAGCCCAGGGAGAACTCAGATGGGCTGTGGGAGGCGCAGGTGAAGAGCATGTATCTTGCCCCGCACTCTGCCAGGCGCCCTCAGCATCAGCTCTTCTTTGTCCTCGTGTTCACGCTTGTCCCGTCTGTGGTTGGTGCAGTGCCCTTCACTTAGCTGGGGAGGCTGCAAGAAGAGGCTGAGGCTGCGGCCTCCTCAATCTTATTTTCTTCCCGCTGCCATCACTGCCAGGAAGTCCCTGGCCCACAGAGGGAGAAAGGCCAAGAAAAGGATGCTGTAGGCTGGGAGAGGCAGGGATCTCACCCCACTTCGCTCAGAACTACTCATGGGATTGCATGAGGTGAATTTACCCGGCCTTCCACCGCTTCTAGTTGTACTTCCTTTTGAAATGTTGTCCCTCCCTCCTCCCAAGAGGCAGAACCATCTTTGCCTCTCCACTGTATCCAGAAGGTGATGCCCGCAGGTGACAGAGAGCTAGCAGCTTCCTAAAGGACTGGTACTGTTTCTGGAATCGATTCTCTCTGCCTTGCCTTACCCATCTCTTCCTGTTTCCCTGGCAAACGACCACACACCAGCAACAATTGCAGCCCCGTGGCTCCTGCCTGCAGCCCTGGCCTAAGCAGTGTTTCAGACATTGGGGAATACCCATATGATGGAATCCATGTTGAGGTGGGAATGAAGAAATGTGTCCAGTGTCCTGCCACCCTCCCCCGGGGATGTTCTTCAGTTGGCCACCAGTCACAAGCCTTCAGTAGCCACTTCTACCAACCTCCTGCCTGTCCAGTCTGTCTATCTTCTCCATCTCTTAAGTCTCTCAGTCAGGCCATCCTAAGGTCCTCCTCTGCCCCATGCATTTCTTCTCAGGTCCAATTAATTCTACCGAGGGGAAATGGAATTACGCAAAACGCTGTGTTTCCATGAGGGGGAGGGGAGGGCAGGGCGGTGGCAGAGTGGCTCTTTGTGCTTTTAATCTGCATTTTCCCCTCAACATTCCATCTCCAGGAGGATAATTTTCCAGCCTTTTCAGGCCCTGATTGGTATCATTTCTCCAGCAATGACAGCTTTTATTTTCCCCGAAATGAATGCCGTGAAATTTCCAAGAAATATAAAAATGGATATTGTCTCAAGAAACCGACTACTCCAACAGGAAGGCACAGAGGCAAACCTGCGTCCCCGGGGACTTTCCACTGCGGCCACAGGAGGATGGGGACCCTGGTCCTCAGTCCCTTCCTCTGTTTCCTGCCTCGGGGTCAGCCCTTGCACTGCCTTCATCCGGTTACCATTCCCACACTCCAGCTACCATTGATCATTCATTTATCTCCCAGCCAGTCTATTTGGGCCTCCCAGTCTACCTGTTCTGTTCAACATCTTGTTCTCCACACAGAGCAGTCCTGAGTGCAGGAACGGAGTCAGCTGGAGTTAGCTGAGAACCAGCTGGTCCTTGTCACCCTGACATGTTCAGTGCTCAGGCTGCCCGTAGAAACGGTCCAAACACCCATCCCCTTCTTTCTCCTGCCTGTCTTCAGAAAAGGAAGGTGAATGGGACCCAGGGATCTGAACTCCAGCTCCTTGCTCTCTTCATCTCTGGGGTTCTCAGAGATCCTCCTTCAATTACTAGGTGACTCCAGAACTGATTAGCGAGAGAGTGACAGGGCACGGCCATGCCTACCTGAGACCAGCAGAGCCCCGAGTGAGACGCTAGAAGCCCAGCTTGGGGAGAGAGGGCTCATGGCAGCCAGAGAAGGCACAAAGGGGTGCAAGGGACAGCAGAGAAGCCTCTGGAAGCAGTTCTTTGCTCCCACATGAGCTGAGATCATATTTCAACAACTCTGCTGATGGGGCATCACTGGGTCTGGGTTCTAGGAAGGAACACCAGTAGCCCATCTCTGGCACTCTTTGGGACAGCAGCATTCACACTAAGGACTCACAGCTATTCAACATTCACCAAGATGCTACCTGTCTTGCCCTAAAAGAGAGCTACCACTCAAAGCCAGACCAACCAGTCTCAGACCTAGTTATGGTCAGTCCCCACTCTATACCATGTGGGATAGAACCTTGGCCCCTGCTTTGTGTCAGTACTGGGATACACCCCAGCCTTTCCCCTATCCAGTCAATGCCCTGGTCTCCCAACTGTTCTGTGGTATCTCCTAGACCACCACCAGCTCCCTGCCCTCCGCCCGGCCTCCCTGGGCTCATCCATCCATTATTCACGGCACAAAATGGATTTTTAATTTGAGAAATGAAATGACTCTCCCTAGTGGCTGGTGTGGTGTGGTGGTGGAGGGGAGAGTAGAAAGGTCGGCTCCTAGAGATGACTGCACACTGCTAACTATGGATCTCCTTGGGAAAATGAAGGCCCGCTGCAGGCGATGGGGGTGCCACAGGTGCATGCACCCCACCCACCGCCCAGACTCATGCCTCCACTCTGGTCACGCTGTTGCTGTCATTGGTTGGGTTAACTGTGTCCATCAGTTCTGCCTCAGCCCATTGTGAGGTCTGGGGATAGGTAGAGCAGTCGTCCCTTTGCTTCCAGAGTTCTGTGCCAGCCTCCTGGCGGGTCTGTCACCTCTCAAAGTCTTCACTCTCTGGTCATCTGGCCTCCCCAGGATTCTGCCCATCCAGTAATTCGCAGCTCAAATTGTATTTTTAAATTTATCTTTCATTTATTATTTAGTTAGTTAATTATTGCAACAAGGCCTCGCTATGTTGCCCCAGCTGATCTGGAACTCCTGGACTCAAGCAATCCTCCTGCCTCAACCTCCTAAATAGCTGGGATCACGGTCAGAGCCCACTACCATGCCTGGCTATGTAATGGCTTTTGGGGTGGGGTTTTATTTCTCTGTAAGCCCTGGAAGCCCTGGAACTCAAATTGTAGACCTCGAACTCAGAGATCCACCTGCCTCTGCTTTTTGAGGGTTGAGATTAAAGGGTACACCACCACACCTGGCTATGAAATGGCTTTTCAATTTGAGAAATGAAATGTCACTCTCTTATGGCTGGGATGACAGGCAGAGACCAAAGAAGCCTGGGATCTCCTGTATCCAATCTAATTTAGGTTCCCAGTTCAGCTGCTATGTGAAGCCCTGACTTTTCACTGTGTATCCTTTAGTCTAGGCAGCTGCCTTGGCTTTCCCCTCTGGCCTCCAGTCTCCAGAACCCCGAGTCACCCCTCATGACTAAGCTTAGTCACTTTAATATATTCCTTGAGGCAGTCATCCCTTACCCCCACCGATGTGTGTGTGTGTAGAGACCAGAGACCAACCACAGGTATTCTTCCTCAGGTACTACTACCTACCTTATCTTTTGAAACAAGGTCTCTCATTGGCCTGGAGCTCACCAAGTAGATTAGGCTGGCTGGCCACCTGACCAGTGGGATCTTCCT